ATTATCGGTTATTTTTTTTAATAATATTGTAAATTTCATAGTTATAAGATTTTAAAAATGTAATCATAATTTGATGAAAAGTGACTTGGAGCACCATACTACATCGCGTACTAACAAATATAACATAATCGCATGTTTCTTTGTAGCTATTGATAATTGTAACCATACCCGTCTAGTTGCCGCTACTTTATTAGAAGATGAGACTGAAGATAGTTTTATTTGGGTCCTTCATATAATCAACAAATGTACTGGTAATTTAATGCTGTGAGTAGTTTATATGGATTCAGATCCAGCACTAGCAAATGCAATCTTGGCTAAGTTTCCAGATTCTTTACATTGTTTGTGTCTGTTTCATATTGATCTCAATTTAAAAAAAAATCTTAGAAATAAGATGAGTTCGGTTCAATTCAATGAATTCCATAAGGATTTTTATATATGCAGAAATACAATGGTTGTTAATATTTTTGAAAGCAGGCTTGAATCTCTTAAGTTAAAATATCCAGAAGTCACTAGTTACATTAAACGTCAGCTTGAATCTTCTAAAATGAAATGGGCGGTTTGTTATATTAATTGTCAATTTACTGGGGAGCAAATAGTACCCAGCGCATTGAAAGTTTCAACAAAAAAATTCATGATTGTGTAAAGGCGAATTCCTCTTTGATAACACTTATTAAGGAAATTCAGGATTTACTTGATAGAGAAGCTGAGTATGCTCATATAGAAGAGTATAAATGCCAAATACTAACTGTTGGGGTTTTAACTATATCAAAAACTTTTTTCAACAAGTTAGATATTATTGTGAACGAATATCTTATGGAGCCAGTAGTGGTAAACGTTCGTAGACAAATGCATAAATATTTTTATTATGATGCTTATAAGCTTGATATTAGTGATTGGAACTCAATTGAAAAGGTGATCTATTCTAATCATTCTATTTTTTAACTAATTTATTTGTTAATCGTTTTATTTTTTTTAATCATTATATACTTTTTTAATTGATTTTTTTTAATCGTTCTATTTTTTGACCATTCTATTTTTTTTATCATTTGAAAAGATAAACTACTTTAATCATTCTATTTTTAATTATTCTATTTAATTGTTTTATTAAACAATATAATACACTAACATTTTTATTTTAATTGAACACATATGGATGACAATATAAATAACGAAGCACGTGAGGATGTCTATGAATTGTCACAAAATTTGTTGACAAATATTTTGAAGACAATTGAAAATACCAATATTCTTGAAATTTGGCGTCTCACCTTTTCATGTAGCACCGAATCTTAGTTTGTCATCTTAATATCAGATGGTTCGCACAGGTGTACATGCAATATGTTAATTACACATGATTATCCATGTCGTTACTTTTACATAATTCTTCGAACTTCTTTATGCGCTTAATAGCACATTAGCCTTATATCAAAGCGGTGGTATCGAGATAACAAGATCCATGATCAAGATATCTTAATGCAGCATGATCCTATTTCATTATGCATTAAATCATCTAATGTTAATGGTTATATTAGTACTAATCATTCTTTCAATCTTGAATATCTTATGCAACTTCAGGGTGGTGAGTTATATACTTCAGCCCTTCAAAATATCAATAATACTCGGTCAAAATACGGATATGCATATGGATTGATAAAAAGAACCATTGAAGTTGCTATCAATACCAACTTATATGATGAATTAATCGGATTGTGTCAGCAATTCCTTTCAAATAAATAATCGAATAAAAATAATCAAGCTAAAAATCTTCTGGTCACCAATTTAATCGTTTCTGCTAGAAAAGGAAGGCCTCCCGATAGAGCTAAAAGTGTTATTGAAATTCAAGAATCGAATACAAGAAAATGTTAGCGTGTGCTTAATATTGAAACAAATTTTCATTCATCTAATGAAAATTCGCAATCAACTCAAGATAATAGAAAGCGGTGTCAAAGATGTAGTCAAAAAGGTCATAATCGGGCTACTTGTAAGATAGAAAATAATTGATGAATTAATATTCTGCTTATAGGTTATCTATTAATTAACTGTTATAGTTTAGAGTTTATAGTGATTTATGTATTTAGTCTAGCTATGAATTTTAATTTTGCTCAATGTTGATTTCGAATATTTTTTATTGCATTTAATCAGCTTTTTTTTTCTTGCAGATTATGTTTAAAAATACTAATTAACTACCGTTGGCTACTGTTTACAATGCTCGGGGTCTTATTCAAAAACTCTATTTTTAATTTGAATAGTATCTAAGAGATATCATATTAAAGAAAAGGGCTAGTAGAAAGGCAAGTAATACCCGGTCTTAATCATGGGTAAGCAGTAGCTAACAGTAGTTATACCTCTTTATACTAACATTAATAATGATTTTTGTCGCTATGTTGGACAAATATCAAAGCATTAGGCTTTAGTTTAATGTTTGTCTCAATATTAGTGATATATTTGAAAGTTTGCAGTTTGGAATTTTTAGAATTAATTAAAAAACAATTCGTAAGTATATTGTTCTAGCATTTCTCTTGAAATATAACTCCATTAATCTAACATCTTAAACTTATACAACTTAGTTAAATATGAATATGTAATAAGTTCTACATTATTAATTGAACAATTGAGAATTAAAGATTATTAATGAGTACTATCAATATGTATATGGGGATATGGTTAGTTATTTTTTCATATGTTGACACAAATTTATCCGAATTCTAGCATTAAAATTCGTTGTTTTAGGAGTTTAATTAAATAAAACTTAATAGCAAGTTTTATGCATAGGCAGGATTTTATAGTTTTTTGGTTAAGTTGTACAATTTGAATAGTTATATATACTTATGAACGAATTTGAAAGTTTAAAGCCGAATATGTTATATGAAATCTATAAAATTACGTTCGCTATATATTAACATTAAGGTTAGAATGATATTTAAATTGCAGATCCGTATATTAGTTTCTTGCGCAATTAATTTATTTTGTTTGGCTGTATTAATGTTATAATTGATTTTATGTTATACATTATCGGTTATACTACATGTTTTAGAGAAATCATATGATCTGATATGTTATATATGGTCACGTGATACAGGGGAAATCCCCTCTGGTGAAAATTAGCAATACTATTATTTGATAATGATTAAAATTTTTTTTTTTTAGCTTTTATCAGTGCTTTTGGTCATTGTTTTTTGGTGCTTTTGGTCATTGTTTGTTGGTGTTTTGGTTATTGTTTGTTGATATTTTGGTTGTTGTTTGTTGGTGCTTTTCGTTGTTGTTTGTTAGTGTTTTGGTTGTTGTTTGTTGGTGTTTTTGGTTGTTGTTTGTTGGTGCACTTTTGGTTGTTGTTTGTTGATGTTTTTGGTTATCGTTTGTTGTAGGGTTGGGGGCACGGGGCACGAGGCATGCCTTTCGGGCATGCCTCCTGGGCATGCCCCTAGGCATGCCCTTTTT